AAAAATATAACAATAGTTTCCTCGAATTCAACCCAATTTTTCCTTTTCACCATGAATACAGTAGTGGCATTTTACAATCGACAATACGGTTATCGTGAGTATTATTCATTCGGGAGTTCATTTTTAAATGGAAAATTTAATTAAAGCAAAAGTTTTGTGTGCAAATTGAGGAAAATTTCGTTCGTATGGAAAACGTCATTCGACAAAGACACTTTCAACACCGTCAGCAGATCGAACAGTTTTTGACGACTTTTTTCGATTGGAATGCAATTTTACGTGCAATCACCTGCACTGACACACAAAACAACTTCAACAAATCAAATAAAAACATTGTTTTGTGATTTTTTCGCTTTTTGCGCACAATTTTGTTTTTGTACAAACCAGTTTTTGTGACTGTGATTTAATTGCGGATGTGGTTTGGTTTTTTTCTTTCTTTCAGAGCAAAGATGGCAATATGACAATGTTCTATCGAGATTATCAGCTCACAAACATGACTGCTGGCGAGGCATTGCCCTATCCGAAGTCCACATCGACTACAATCCAACACCGCCAATTTTTGCGGCCAAATTTGCCAACTGTCCCAACCATCGGAACATCATTGCCATCGCCAATGAAGATGGAAAAGTATGAACCAATCAGTGGAAGCATAGTACAGAAATCAGAGTTTTTGTGTGAAATCTGTGGCTTTTGTATTCATGTCCCATTTTTCCCTAGACAAGTTTATGATTTATTTAATAAACATTTATCGGAAATGATATATGTTTCGTTTTTGTTTTTAATATTGAGTATAATTTATGTTAGAAATCGATTTGACACTTGATTTGATGAAAGCATGGTATTTTTTTTTACATATTTTTGGTTGTTATTCTTGAATAATAATGAATCGTATCGAATAAAGTGAAGCAATTCCGTTTTGAATGTTATTCTACTTTCTATTAATTCTATCATTAAATTTTTTTGAAAATTATTCGGATGAAATTTAACTACTTAAACTGGTTGTTGCTTGGCTGAGTTTTCTCTTCTTTGCAATCTGTTCAGGATCCTTCAAATATGTTACAATCATCTTGATTTCGTCCAAGTATTCTTTATAATCGTTGCTTTTTTGTCGATTAATGTTGTGCCTTTCCAAAAAACTTTTCTGATCCGCAATTTCCTTGTCGGCTTTGTCGATAGCTTCTAAAAACTTCCACTGTTCGTCATATTCCTTAAATTTATTGGAGAGATCCGAATTCACGTTTGAACTATTTTTATATTTCGACTGAAATGGATTCCCTATCTATAAATGTAAACAATGAATGAACTTAGTGGAAGAATCTTTTAAAAAAATGAATTGCATAATTTTGTCTCAAATCGGAAGTAAAAAAAGTCACCTTGAAGTCGACAATCCAAAGTTTTCCATTCTCATCAGAGCCATAATTCGATTGATGCACATCAATTAGTTGTAAAATCTCTTTGAGATAATCCAACTTGCCAATTTCTTCAAAATATCTACGTTTTGCTGCTGTGCGGAAACCGGGAACTAAAATTGAAATGTAATTTTAATTATTTACAAACATAGAACTATAAAAAATGAAAGAAAAAAATTGAAGGAACATCATATAGTTTCAAAACTTACTGTCTGCCGTGGCAATGTATAATTCAAATGTGGAATTGTGAACTTTTGGAATAAAATGAACCAATGGCCCAACTCCAATAATCTGTAAAACCTTATACGCGAATAATTCACATAGGCTAGTGTCGTCACTTGTGTGACTCGACCTAGATGATATTCCCGAGTGCATTTTAACGTGGAATTTGGTTGCGGTTGTACCAATCGTGACTGTGCACATTCGACCTCCCTATAAAAGTTTAAAAGTTTCATTAAAAGGTTTCTAGTCGGATCATACAAACATTCAGAATTATATTGATAAAGTGGATTTACTTGAAGGCCTGGTGCGGTTTTTCGGTCGCATTTTATTTTGACAGTTGGATTCGCTGGATTTGATTCGAACAAACTCAGAAAATATTGTGTTGCCGCTTGGTCTATGGCTCCACCAGTCGGATCTAAACAGTGTCCGCACTTTTCTTCAAAGGCGTAAATAATTTCCTCAAAATTTGGATAGACCCTAAAGAATTTGGTTCCGATTAACTTCTTATATATATCCACATTTTGTTGGACTTCCTCGGCAACGTTCCAACCTCTTTTGTATCTTCGTGAAATTCTCGATAACGCGTCTTCCAAGGCTTTCCAAATATTCAACCGAGAATGTTTCTAACAATTTTTTTCATAAAATTCGTGTTAGTACAGTGAATGTGTGTAATGTTATAAAATCCATTTTTTTGTAATAAATGAATTCAACAAAATCCAACACTGAATAGTGAAAAATAAAACATAAAAGACATACTAATACAAGATTACTGCCATTTTCAATGTGGAGTGCGGATAGCAGCGTTGCTTCAAGTTCAAGATCGAATCGTACATCTTTTCCATCATGAACAAAGTGTATTTCTTGAAAACAACTTTCAAGGAAAAACACTTTTGTCAATTCCTTTTGCAAATGTCCGACATTTACATCTTTCATGGGATTGTCTTTGCTGTCCGGGTTTTCAACCTTAACTTTTTGAGTATCGTGCACCGTGTCATTCTGGTCCTTAACATCAATGCGGAGTTCCATTTTGCCGCACTTAAATTATTTGACTTGGTGTGGAATTGCCGATAAATATGTCGCGCTCTGATATTGACATTTTTGACCAAAAATTTACTGATAATGCACTTAGAAAATATTTGAAAACTATAATTCCGATGAATGGAATGAGGTATATTTCGTTTGTATGGTTCTACGGTGAATATATTTATATTTTGGCAAGATAATGTGGAATTGTTTATAAATGCACTACCAAAACATGCGTCGATGATTCAAATTTTTTTTTCTTTCTCCGTTTCAGCAACAATCTGGCGAACAACACACAAATGTCATCGTTGACAGTTCGCTATGTCACATAGTACACGGTTTTTTTTGTCTTTGTTTCTCACTCTGGCTTACGATGGCAACGCCATCTATCGACCGATTTGTGAAGTTTGAGCTTTTTCACTTCGGTTTGTTTACCTTTCGGGCGAATCTGGATGATAAAATCTGGTCGGGCCAATTTCAATTTCAGTGTTATGAATGATTCTATTGTGAACAATATTCACGAATTTCGGCTAAACCAACCAAAAAACAAACGATTCAACAAATCAAAATCAATATTTGTCACAGTTGATCAACGAATCATTTTTCTCTTTATTTTCCTATATTGAAACTGTGATTTTGTTTGAAATATTCTAATTTTGATTTCCAAATCTGACAATAATTGCAATTTAATCGATTCTTAACCAACAACCAATCAATTCACTTACTGTGGCCAGGCACAAGAGAAGAACTACTGGGAGTAATCACCACGTCATATTTTCTTCTTTAAAATTTTTACACAAATCGATTGGTTTTCTGCGTGAGTTACAGTTTTTATCGTCAAGTGTCGGTTTATTTGTCTATGAACAAGTCGTTTGGGTTGTATTTTTAGGCCGGTCGTTTTTCTATTCTCATATAAATCAAGTCGATTTAATTCTTCAACAATTGCCACAACTTGGAACACCAATTGTTTGCACTGCTAAACCAATTCCAAGCATAATACCTAAGTCTGATACCGAAACAGATGAATGAAACGAAGAAAAAATTGAATGGGCGCAATAACTTGTTGTTTGTTCAATTCAGTAGGTTAATGTTTTACGAACATTGAACTCTCTGGCATAATAGTAGGACAGTTGGGAATCATTCATGAATTTTCGACATTTCTTTCTTTAATCCAGTCCAAGACTAATGCAGTAGAAACGATTAAAATCCACAAATGGGAGAGAAAAAAAAAACAAACAAACATTCTGTGAGAAATGAACCCATAAAATCGGTTAGTAGATTGACTTGATTAAACGTTGATATATTCGCGGTGCGAATTAAATGCATAATGTTGATAAAAAGCAGCATGAAAAGACCCAATTATCATTTGAAACAATGCGTGCATTTTTCTACGAATCATTTTTCATTTAAGCGATGAGTCAAGTGGCTGTGTGTGTGTGTGTTTCGGGCGAAATAAACAAATTATGCCCTAGAATGCATGGGATTTCGTAATAATCGCATGTTATTCAATCATATTTTTTTTAAATGCATCTCTCTTGCTTGTAAAATTAAAGTGAATCCAATTATCACATTGATCGAGAGCATAACACATCGGAAACGGTTTTCGAAAAATTGCGTTTTGGTGTTGACGATGGCGAATAGTGTTGTTTCTCTTTTGAACCGCTTATTTGGTCTGCATTGAATTTGTGTTGTCATCTGAACTAATTTCTACGGTAACGACCTCTATTGACCTGGTTGACAATGATTCGCTATTCGGTTCGTGTGTGTGTGTATGTTTTTGTTGTTGGCTTCAACTTCAAATTCAACTGTCAAAATACCCGCCAGTTAAGACACAAATTGCATTTATTCCGCCAAAAATAACAAATATTTCTAGACACCACAATCATGCGTTGCATCGATTTGTGATTAAAAAAGAACGAACACTTTTCGACAGGTTTCTGTTTTCGACGGAAAATCGCACAATAAACCGATTTTTCTATCATCCGCGCGTATTTCCGAGACAACGATTCATCGGCATATTAAATAACTTTATTTTTCCCTGTGTTCCTACCACAAGAAAAATATAACAATAGTTTCCTCGAATTCAACCCAATTTTTCCTTTT